TGAATGAGTATCCCGCAGTCGGTAGCGCCCGACTGCAACGTTCTTACTTGTTTTTGGTTTGCTGTTGTTTCATTTATTTCTGGGCTCGTGGTCTAAATTCTCGTGCGTCAAACATGTTGACAGGGTCGTTCGGTGCTCTGGTTCGGTGACTGGTCAGCAATATCATTTATCATCAATTTCCATTTTTCAAATTTCACTGTGCGAGTGCACACACCCATATACAAATACATACATACATACATACATACATCCATGTACACAGCGCAACTGTTCAAAAAGCGGAACTTAGGCTCCATTTTATGGCTGTTGTGTGTGTGAGTGTGCGAACAAATGAATTGTGTCGTGTCCTGCCGCAGTTTGTGAATGATGATGGCACTGTTCAGTGGAGAAATCCTTCACTTGCTTTAATTTCAATAACATTGCTTCGGAATCACACAATAATCCGCTCTTCTTATTTCGTTTCAGACGCTCGCCGTTTTGAATCCGCTGCGCGGCACAGATCAACAAATACTCCAGGACACGGACATGGCCGGGCCATTGGTATTCTGTTTGACACTCGGAGGCATTCTGCTGCTGGTGTGTAAAGCGCAAAAGTTCTCTAATTGCATAGCTGCAATGTTTCCCTTTCGTTTCAGAGCGGAAAGGTTACCTTCTCCTATATATATGGCATCGGCGTCATGGGCTGCATATTCTTCTACTGTCTGCTCTCGCTGATGGTCACACGGTCGCAAGTGACCTTCGGGGCGGTTGCCTCCGTGCTGGGCTATTGTCTGCTGCCCATGGTCGTGCTGTCGGGCATCAACATTTTAATCACCATTCAGTAAGTAATTGTTGACACAACTGGCTGGCTTTCAGCCATACGACCATCCACACGCATACCCCAACTCCAACCCCAACCAATCAGCCAACCATCCATCGGCCCATTCAGCCATATCGAGCAGCTCCGCCCCCATTTGGTCCTTCTCGATTTGTATTTATGTTTTTAATTGAAAAGTTGCCAATGCATTGTGTGCCCGGCCGTAATTACAAACTTTGGTTAAGTCAGCCCAGCTGCGACTGCAGCACGTTCAACTACTTAGCCTTGTTTGATTATTGAAACTTGAAATATTCCTAGTTTGATTGCGATTACTTTAACGATTGTTTGCCCACTGAATCGAACAGATTTCATCATGCCATTTAATACTGAGGATTAGAGACAAGCTTTTCCTTTTAGCATATATATATGGGTCCAGCAAGAGTCACATATATGAAAGCAGATGGAAAATAAAGCTAGTTAAAGCCACTGCACAGGACTGAAAATGAGAGGGACAGAAAGGGAGGGAAAAAAAGTTAATTAGTGTAATAGTTTTTAGCAGAGATAAAGTTAATTTAATTGCCACACAACTTTTGAATAAGTAAAGTAGTTTAAGTTGACCTTACCTTGAATGCATGAGAATCGCAGAGTAGGGCATTCAAGCTAGCGTCCGTTTGCTTTACATTTAAGGTCAGCGAGCATTAGATAGTTACATATGTGTGTACATAAATACATATATAATTGCATGCATGCTTAAATAGGTATCGACTTACATACATGCATGCATACGTACATGCTTATGTATGCTTATATGTTACTGATATACATATGTATATGCATACGCATATATTTAGACATGTATGTACATTCAGACTTACATACATACATCTATACATGCTTAAATAAATGCATATATGTATATAAATTGATGCACAAATACATACTCACAGACACAAAGACTCACTCACTCTCACATATTTACTCATGTATACGCATGCATGTGCATGCAGATAGTTAACTAAAGTTGCGTGCAAACACGCACATCCCTACAAACACATGCATACACACACACACACACACACACACACCATGCATACACCTGCAAATATGTACATGTACAACATGCATACTCACACTTATGTACATATGTACATGTAATTACATCATAGTTTTTTATGCATTCACCCACCGGCTATCGGCCGCCGTCCGTAGTCCGTCGTCCACCTACCCCCTCCATTTTAGTTATCAAATGGATAATTTTGCATTACACATGTTAATAAACTTCACAATTTTATGGCCTTCAGTTACATGCATTGTTACATTCCTTGACTTTTCTTAATTATCCGCATGTCGTGGCGTATGTAGAACACAGGTTTTTAATTCTGTAGCTGCATGAAAAAATGAAAAAAAAAACTAGGCAACTTAATTTGCGCTTTTAGTGCACTTTGGGGGCCGAAAAAAAAAATGGAATGAAAAAATTGCTACCAAGCGCCCAGCTATGCGCCGTTTAATTTTCGCGCCACTTTTGCAACTGGAGAAGGCCACAAAAAACGTGAAAGAGAAGCGAAGAGAGCTGAGAGAGCTGTATGTGTGTGCGTGCGTGTGTGTGTGCGTGAAAGACACAGTAAGCGGGTGATGTGCCGTGTCCGGATATCCAGAGCTGGCCACGTATTTTCCTTTTCAAATATGTGTTCAGCACTTGGTGTGTGTGTAGTCGCTAGTTTGCCTTTTGATACCCTGTACTTAATGAAGAATATGGGTGGTAAGTGCGTTTCAAAAAGGAGGTAAACGAAATTAAGATGCAGAATAGATATGATGTTA